AATTCTTTTGGAGGATTAGCATTACCATAAGAATCAAAATAAATTTTTAAATTTTTATATTTTATCCATGCAACCTAATGTGATCTTTCTTGTTCAGAATTATTTAAATTAAATATTCCACATTGATTTGTTAAAGTTTTTGTTGGCAATTCATCTCTCATAAAACATCATCGAAAATTTTTAATTTTTTTACCAGCTTTCATGATATCAAAATTAGTTAATGGACTGATTTCCTTTTTTTGTTTTCTTTTTAATTCCAGATCCAACTTGTAAAGTTTTAATATTATTGACAATTTTTTCCATTTCTTTATTATGTCTTTCTTGTTCTTTTTCCGCTGCTATCTTATGCTTTCTTTCTATAATAGTATTTACAATCGAACTTATTCTCCCAGCTAATGCACTTGCAGCTCCTATTCCAACAAAAAGAATTGGAAGAAATCCACCTTGTTTAATTTGTTCATATTTCAATTCCAATCTTGATTCTTTTTTTACTTTCTTAGATTTGTTTAATTTTATTATTTGTTTTTCTGTTAAATTAAACCTTTAATTTCCTGTTCCAAATTGGTTGTTTGATAGTTGAATTGTTACAACTATTTTTTTATTATGTGCAGATTTAATTTTTTTCAATTGTGCATCATTTAAATTAAGATTCATTTATTATTCAAAATATTAATTTTTTATTTTAAATAAGGCCCATTCCTAATTTTCTTTTTACTTTCATTATATTAGTAGTTGCAAAAGCTGCTGTGTTTTCACCTAAAGATGTATCTGGATTTTCATATATATTCTTAGCTATATTTTCTAGAATTAAATCAGCTTTATGTCTAGATTTAGTATCTTTATGTTTTTCATAGTAAAAATCATGATCCATTGCGGCTTATATCTAATTTGTTTATTGGTTTCTTAGATTTTGTAAATGGTCCGAGATAATTATAACCTGGCCAGTGAATGTCAGGCATAAATTTATTGTTTAAAAAACCATTAACAAGTCCAGATCCTTTAATTACTTTTCTTGGTAAACTTGAGATAAAAGAAATTAAATATTCAATACCTTTTGAAGTATCAATTAATTTTTCCATTTCTTTAGTTACAAAATGTATAATACTTAATTTTTCATTATGGAAATTATTATTACCAGCTCCTTCTTCTGCAGCAATAAAATACAATCTTTTTAACAATTCGTTTAAATTATCAATGTATTTATATTGAATTGGATTTTCTGTATAATTTATTCAACCTGATCCTTCATGCAAAGTTTGTAAGTTTTTATTTTCACTAATTTTATTCCAAATAGGACGGATCAGATTCATGTATTTATCCCCTTTACTTGATTTTACTTTTTTTGTATTTTTATTATTAT